AGATCACAATTAGGCAGAGAGGCAGGCAGAGAGAGAGGAAGGGAAGCAGGCTCCCTGCTGAGCAGAGAGCCCCACATGGGGCTTGATCCCAGGACCCTGGGATCATGACCCAAGCTGAAGGCAGAGGCTTTAACCCACTGAGCCACCCAGGCGCCCCGACCGAGCCGTCTTTTTAAAGATAATGCGACAAGCTCGGTTATCTGTTTTCCTGATTTATAGATGGAAAGTGGAGCATTCCACGAGAGAAGTACGAGGGCAACCATAGATGATAATGTCTCTCAGCAGGCTGGGAAGGGCCGTAATAACAAAAGTGACACAGAATTCATAAAGTCAGCAGCAGTGCACTTTTTTTTTTTTTTTTTTTTTTTTTTACAGAGCGCAGGCAATCGGCAAGCCTGTAGTAAGCTCAGAGCTATCCCAGTATCAAGCCAAGCAAGGCCCTTGAGTTGGTGGTGGCCTCTGGGGTTCTTCGTGGCTCAGCAATTCTATGACTCTGTGATTCAAGTCATCGCCAGAGATTGCATTCAGTATGTGCAGTTTTGGAAGATGGGGACTGTATTGTTTAGGAAGGCATGCCCTTGCTTCCACTTTACCCCAGGCTTGGGGACTGAGTGTTGGTGTCTTCTTGTTCTGGTCACATGAAGGCCTGAGGTTGTCAGGGGAAATGCTTACTGGGTCCATGGGGAGCCTTTGACAACTGGCTTTTCCTGCCCCATGGAGAGATGGCTTTTCTCCTCTCCCATGTTGTGAGTGTCCAGTGCCATGGTTTACTCCACCTAACTGGGGGTGTATCTTATTCCCAGCGGGACAAACCTTGTTCACAATGGAGCCTAGGAAAATGGACAGTTTTCCTGCCTCTGCTGAGAACTAGAATTAGTCAGTAGGAAGTTCTGTCTGGAAGTTTTCTCTCATTTTCTTGCATGCTACTAATTTCCCCGCTTAGTCTACTTTTCTCCTAATGTGAGCAGTAGGGAGGTGTATTGGTAAGAATTGTAGGATTTTATCATTTCAATTTTTTAAATCTAATGCCTTTTTTGGGGATGGGGTAGGGTGGGTGGGAAAATAGAGCTCCACACACAGTGGCTGAATCTTCTGTTTCTTTCCTTAGCTCTGCCTTAACATTTAGAACATCAGATTGCCCCCTTTGGTGCAATTCTTTGATTGACGAATTTTTGTGATTTTTCCTATTCCTTTGTGTATTTGTTTGGGAATTAGAAGAGGAAAAAGTCTATGGTCCAGATTTACTCTGCCATCTTTCCTGGGAAATTTCCCAGAGTTGTACTTCTAAAATGCAAATCTGATTATGGAACTCTCTTGCTTAAAACCTTCCAGTGTCTCCCCCACATTCCCCCTCTCCCCCCATTGCTTTCGAAAGCCATGTGTTCCTTCATGATCTGGTCTGTGCTTATCTTTCTATGCTATCTGTTGTGAAATCTCCCCTCATTGTGTATATTCCAGTTACAGTGAACTGAACTGCATTCAGATTCCAGAATTAACCTCCCTCTCACTTCTCTGCCTTTGCACATACTTTTCTTTTGCCTGGAATGTTCTTTTCCCTCCTTCCCGTCTAATTTCCACCAGCCCTTCAGATTTCATTTGTCTTTATCTCTGGGAAGCCTTTGCTGACCACACAGGGCTCTGTGCCTGAAATCTTTGTTCTGTAATTCCGTATGTGTTGGTCACACTGTTTTCTGATCCACTCTTTTCTGTGTGTCTCCCTTATTTACTGTTAATTTGGGGGAGATGGTGACAGAGTGCTGGTGTATCAGTAAGTCTTAAAAATTTTTTTAAATTTAATTATTTTTATTAACATATGATGTATTATTTGCCCCAGGGGTAGAGGTCTATGAATCATCAGGCTTACACATTTCACAGCGCTCACCAAAGCATATACCCTTCCCAGTGTCCCATCACCCAGCCACCCCATCCCTCCTCCCCCCCACCCCCTAGCAACCCTCAGTTTGTTTTTTGAGATTAAGAGTCTCCCGATAGGGAATGTTTTCATTAAGTGTGTGTGTGTGTTCATTCCACATAGCACAGTGCTAGGTAGAGGACAGATGTTTAACATATGCTGGTACAATACTCAATATTTGTTAAACTAACTTGAGCTTTTGGGTTGATTTGCAGTTTTATGTATGGGGAGCTGACCGATAAAGACACAATTGAAAAGGTGCGGCAAACATTTGAGAACTATGAGATGAATTCCTTTGAAATTTTGATGTACAAGAAGAACAGTGAGTATTCAGACCATTCTGAACCATACCTTTATGTGCTTGGAATAGTAAAAGAGGTGCTCTTCCTCTGTTGTCTTGGATCTTCTTCTCCCCCATCAGCTAAATGTTGTTCCATGAGGCTATTGTGTATATTGGGATAAATGGTGTAGATTGCTGAGTTACACTTTTCTTTATGGAACTCTTTTTTTTTTTTTTAAGATTTTATTTATTTGAGAGAGAGAGCACAAGTAGGGAACAGAGGGTTAGGGAGAAGCAGTCTTCCCACTGAGCAGGGAACCAGACATGGGGTTCCATCCCAGCACCCTGGGATCATGACCAAGGCAAAGGCAGATTCTTATCCGACTGAGCTATCCAGGTGCCCCAAGATCAAGAAGTCTTAATTAGGGGGCACCTGGGTGGCTCAGTCGATAGAGCACATGACTCTTGATCTTGAGGTTATAAAATTGACCCTGATGTTGGGTGCAGAGATTACTTAAAAATAAAATCTTAAAAAAAAAAGACCTCTTGATCTCTTTTTCGGCCAAGGTAATGTTTTTCTTATTGGTTTACTTATGGTGAGCTGCTAGCTGCAAACACTTGTAGACTTTAAGGCTTCTTGGGGGAAAGGAAGACATGGGACAGTGACTCTGGCCAGATCATCTTTGAGTCTGTCCTCCACAGTACCTAGCACAGCAGGTGACCCCAGTAGATGCCCTGTTGGGGAAGGAGATTAAGAGCACAAGTATCTTGAAGAGTACTGAGTATTGTATAGAATTGTTGAACCACCATGTTGTACACCTGAAATGAATATAATCCTGTATGTTAACTACAGTGGAATTAAAAAAAACTAGTTTCTGAATAAAATTTTCTTCTCCTGATGACTTACTTTTCTGTCAGAGATGGTATTGATATTCATAGTAGATTGTGAATTTGTATTTGTTTTGGCTACAGTTACTTCCATGGAGTATGTTAATGAAGAATTTTGGTCAATAGCCGTACACAGGTATAAAACTCACTTTTCCCTCCTGAGGTTTCCTATCGAATGGAGATGAGCTGTGTTGGAAGTATGGGACAGTGGGGTATATGGCCATAGCAGGTTCCAGAGATGTCTAATAGTGCTGTGTTTTGGTTTTAGAAAATGATTTTGTCTGTAAAGCGTTCCATTCTTTATATGTAGGATTGAATGGCAGCTCATAGATTTAATAGAATGTTTCCAGAGTGGCCCAGATAGCCCATGAGATTACGTGTTTCTCTTGGTGGCATTCAGAGTGATACATTTGGCTCTCAAAAGCAAAAGGCACACTTTTTTTTTTTTTAAGATTTTATTTATTTATTTGACAGAGATCATGAGTAGGCAGAGAGGCGGGCAGAAAGAGAGGGGGGAAGCAGGCTCCCTGCTGAGCAGAGACCCCCCCCCCAAGGCGGGGCTTGATCCCAGGACCCTTGATCATGACCTGAGCTGAAGGTAGAGGCTTTAACCCACTGAGCCACCCAGGTACCCCAAGGGCACACGTTTTTTCTGGAAGGAGCTGGGTATTCCGTCTGGACTGTTGGAGCAGACAGCTGAGAGCGCTGTTTGCTTGGTGCTGTGGGCTAATGCTGATCTGAGAGACTGGCTTGGGGCATCAGCTAAGCCAAGAGGGTTAGTCCCGTAGCTTTCACACTAGCATGGAGTCTTGCTCTGTCCCCCTCCTTCAGCCAGAAGGTTGAGTTCCTCCTGGCAGGAGAGGAACAGGGGGAAAGACTGAATGGCTCTGTGCTGGTCCTCTACCATGGCGACCACAACCCAGAGCACCAGCTCTTACCAGGAACACACTTGCCTTTTTGTGGGGAGGAGAGGCCCTGTCCATGTGCCCCAAGCTAATGGAGTAAGTTCAAGGTTTTCTACCCTGTGAGCTTTGCATACTGAGCAGTTGGATTTCCCCTTGACACGGCATACTAATTGGATAGGTGTGTCACAAAAATAATGCTTTGCATTTATATTTTGCTTTAGAATTTTTAAGCTTCATTAGATTATGCATTTAACTTGCTGAAATTATATGTGTTTGGCACCAAAGTGAGAGAAGAGGAAACTTAATTTAAATTGAGTCAGTGATTTCATTTGCCGTACCCATTAGGGAGCGTGTACCCCAGAGGAAGTGTGCAATAGGGGAGGAGAAGCTGCTGTTCCCGCAGCTGCCGCTGGGGCTGAAGACCTTGTATTTATGAGTGTCTCATTGCCCTGAAGGTGATTCTTACAGCTGAAGTTCTGTACTTGAGGCAGACCTGGCCCACGCATGTAAGCCAATTGGTTCAACTAATGTTCTACAAAGAACCAGCATCTCTTTCCTGCTTTGAGGTTGTGGGAGGGGTATTGAGAGATGTGTGCCAGTCTCCAGGGCAGCATGTCAGCCTAGGGATGGGGTTCTACTTCTGGGGTGGTGGGAAAGAATTTTCCAAAGTAATTGTGGTCATATGCAATTTTTTTCTTACCCTTTGGCTTGAGAAAATAAACATTGTGGAAAATAGGACTCCACTCTATTTTAAAATATTGATTCTTGAAGCCCCATGAAGTAGGCATGGCTGATGTTATTTATGACCTTTGTATAAGAAGTTAAATTCCTAATTCAGGGTCACGTGGAGCCAGGACTTGGTTTCCCGTGTCCTGGCTATTCTTCCAAGGCTGTGAGTAAAGGCAGGGCCACTGTGTATGGTTGTGGAGGCTATTTGCTGAATAGAGGATAACTAGAAACCAACTTATGGTTTGCTTACTGAATCCTCCATACACCATAGCCTAACCTTACCTCTGTGCTGAGGGAGGATCTTCTCTTTCTGATTTACACAAAGATGTCTAGAAAGCTAGTGGGAATTCCATATAAGGCTAAGCCTGAATGGAAAACCAGAAGCATGACATTGATGCCAATAATGTTGGTTTCTTCCTAGGACCTCCATATCCCATCCTATCCTAAGGAATTTAGAAATTTTAAATTATATATTAAGTCTGGGAATTTTACATTTACACTGAATTCTGTGCTTTAAAAAAAAGATTCTATTTATTTATTTGAGAGAGAGCACAAGTTGGCAGGGAAGGACAAAGGCAGAGGGAGAGGCAGACTCCCCACTGAGCAGGGAGCCTGATGCAGGACTCAATCCCAGGACCCAAAGATCATGACCTGAGCCGAAGGCGGACGCTTAACCCACTTTGCCACTCAGGTGTCCTTATGCTTTTTGTTTTGTTTTGTTTTTTTAATTGCTTTTTATTGACCCACTACTCTATGTCAGACACAGACTTCCGCTAGGGATGTGGTTGTGAAAAGAAGCACAACCTTTGCCCCTAAAGCAGCGGTGGGGCAGCATCTATTCCACGGCACATAGCCATAAGTGTTTTGATGGTGACACCATTTGGAGAGGATCATCGAGCTCTAATGTAGAAGGTCAGGAAAAGAAGTTTTCCCAGCAGATAGTAAATCCATGTAGAAACTGAAGATGTGGGAGTTAGGCAGAGGGAAGGGCAAAGAGTAGCTCAGGCGGATGAAATGCACTGAAGTCTCAAGAGACCCAAAGCAGGGCTTCTAGGACTTTGACATGCATTGGAAATCACCTGCAGCAGACTGAGCAGACTGAGCAGACATGGGAGGGAGGGAGGAGGCAGAGTTTGCTCCTGCTTTCAAAACATCTAGTTCAATAGGCTGAAACTTTCAGCATTTTGAAGCTGTGTAGAATCTCATACGGGAAAGGCACTCCTGTTGAGATTTTAAAATGTGAAATGTCATCCTCTAAAATAATTTTTTTTCCTCTGATTTCTAAATTGAATCATTTTTACTATGGGGAATACATGAACATGGGAAGGAAAACAACCACCCCAAAGACTCACAGCAATTTTACTATGTTATAAACTTTTCAGTGTTTCCTTTTAGGTTTTGACTTACACGTTACATAATTGAGATTTTGATATGTATGCAACTTGAAGTCATATGTATATTTAATCTTTTATCATAAAAATATCCTCCTCATTAAAATCCCCCATAAATATAATTTAGAAAGAACTCATTTATAGTTCCTCTACTGCTAGATATATATGAGGCTCTAAACTTTATTAAACACAGGGCTGAGGGTAGTATCTTCATGTAAAGATATTTATTGGGATTCTGAAGTATTTCCTAGAAGTTGAGAATTACCATGTCAGAGAACAGGAACTGAGGTTCCCGAGACGTTTTGCCAAACAGTATTTCCGAAATGAACCCATTCCCAAGTTCACTTACAGGTTTCAAGTGTCTGACTCATTGTGCTACACCAGCACCAAACAGTAGAACTTTCAAATGTCAAACTGCCTACAATTGAACTTTTTTTGTTGTTTAATGCATGTTTTTCATGCTAGTGAGACTGAAGTACTTTTTCCTATTTACTATCCATTTAAAATTACCCTTTTTATGTTAATTGTTCAGATTCTTCGCTCATATCTTCTATTTAATTCCGGTGATTTTCTTACCGATTTTTTTTTATAAATTCTTAATAAATTAAATTTTCCTCTTTCCCATTCTTTGGTAGTATTTGCAAGGACAACTTCATAGAAAGACTCTTCTCTTGATAAGCATTAATGTTTGTCCTGCCTTTGGGGGGGTTGAGAGTAATTAGCAAAAGTCTTCCTGGTGTGCTTTGGAATGAGTGTGTGGAGTACTATTAAGTATCTGGAAGGACGGATGATTTGAAAGGTTTCTTTTTATCTCTTAGCCAGTCTGATGAAGAAACCTGGGCATTGGGACTCCTGGGTGGCTCAGTTGGTTAAGCCGCTGCCTTCAGCTCAGGTCCTGATCCCAGTGTCCTGGTATCGAGCCCCGCATTGGGCCCCTTGCTCAGCGGGGAGCCTGTTTCTCTCTCTGCCTCTACCTGCCACTCTGCCTGCTTGTGTTCTCGCTCTCTCTCCAACAAATAAATAAATAAATAAAATTAAAAAAAAAAACCCAAACTGGGCATTTTAGTAATGCTATGGTTCATATCATTCCTTAACTCATAGATTGGTGACAGTCGTCATTAACAAACTC